GTAGTATCCGCCGTCTTCAAGACGAAGTTGCGCCCGCGCTTCATTGGACCCTTTACGGTCGTCGCAAAGAAGGGACTTGCGTATACGCTCAACCTTCCGCGCAAACTGCGCACACACCCCGTGTTCTACGTTGGCATGCTTAAACCGTATCGGGATCCGTCCCACGTGAACTTGGAGGCGCTTGCGCCGGGTAGGTTGGCTTTGCCATCGGTTGCTGAATCCGTATCAGGAGGTCAAGCTGAGCCTCCATCCGGGCTTGGCCCAACTCCAACGCCCGAACACGGGCTCGCATTGCGTCGAACGCACTCTGGGTCTGACCCAACGTCTCACGGAGACCACTCAGCTCGAGAAGCACCTTCTCGTGCTCCTCCTTCGGTATACCGACCACCTCCGACGCTGCTCGATGAGCAAGGGAACCGCCAGTTCCATGTGGAACGACTCCTGAAACGACGTCGTCGTCAGGGTCAATACCAGTATCTGGTAAAGTGGCGAGGGTACCCGGAGTCGGAGAACTCGTGGGAATTTGAGGTACCCCTTCGGCAGGATTGCCCATACGCCGTTGATGTTTTTGAACATCGTGGCAGGGGTCATCCTTCGACCGATATCGCTTCCCACCAATAGTGGTGGAAGCAGGTGGGTAGTTTGGTTCCGCTTGACCAACTCCCACTTCCATCGGCACAGCCGGAGTATAGCGGGTGCGAAATCGCAATTGGCCTCTGGCCTTAAGCTTGGCATAGTCATACCGAAGCTTTCGTTCGAGACAAACATCTGCCACATTGGCACTTGCTCTGAGAGCTAGCATGCTGCTGAGGTGACGTTTCCGGTGCACCCAGCGCACAAAAGTGTTGTCCTCCTCCTCCGGAGATTCGCCTGCGAATAAGAGGATGGGTATACCCCTCATCGGTGGCACCGGTGCACCCCGTGCTTGCGTGTCAAGTCGCAACTTGTATTGACTTAGAGTCGTCAAGTGGGGTTGCAGGTACCTCTCACGAAGTGCCTGTCGGCTCGCCACTTCATCAGAAGATGTCGGCTCAGCGCCAATGGCCCACGTTATCAGGGAACGACCTGTCGTTTGGCGTATACGCTCTTCCACATTGAGTGGCGTGAACTGATAGCCACGACGACCCTCAAGGTCTGCAGCAAGCTGCATACGGCGCTGAGCGCTCTCCTCTTGTTGGATTACCAACTCTTGTTGCTCATCGAGCGGGTTGGTGATGATGTGTTCACCTGCACCTGTTGCATGATGCTGCGTTTCTAACGCGGTGGTCTCACTACGCTCGGCAAATGGGTTTGGTGTAGTATGAGGCGATGCCTCTTGCACTGGTGAGCTGGACATTGTCCGTTCTTCACCACGGACATCGGTATCACTACCATAGTCCTCCTCCACATTAATGCCGAGGTAAGAAAAGAGAGTCGGGGACTCGTAAGGTGGCGATGCCATGGTGTTTCGTGCTTTGCAAACCGTGAGGTTAGAGCGCACACACACCGTCCTCTTCGAGGAAAAGTTCGATTGACGTTTTGTGGTAACTTCAGTCTGGTGGGGGAGGGTGTAACGGGGTTACACGTCGGCTGGTAGCCGACGATAGGTGTGGTGCACACACGAGAGGGGGGTATCCTATAAGGTAATATTAGAACACAGTGAGCGTATCAATTGTTGAAGACTGGTGTCTGTCATCAATTGATTGCAAGATCTTTTAAGAGGTTATTTAGGGCAGGTTAAATACGTTGTTCTAAGGTGTTCTTTTAGGTTAAATGAAGAAATAAAATTCAGTTCCCATTTTGATCAACATAAGACACGTGCCTTACGAGGCGTCTTTGATCGGGAGGACAGAAGCAACGCCTGTAAAGGTAGCTTGTCCTCGAGCACTCTGTGCTGTGATTCATTTGAATTGTTTGGTCCCTCTGGAACGGGGACCGTAAGCTCTCTGAGCTGTTGACTCTCTGAGTCGGGTTCTCTGAACCACCCTTCGAGCTCTCTGAGCTGTTGACTCTCTGAGTCGGTTTCTTTGAACCAAAGTTGCTCATTGAGCGTAAAGTCTTCCTCTGACTTAAGGAGCTGTGTAGCTCCGCTACAGAATAGCATTCTTTACTATTTCTTGCAGCGATAATGTTCACACTGGCATGTGATATCTTGTCGACGTCATGTCACTACTGGTCCACCCCTTACGAAAAGGCCTGTGTTGATCGAAACGGAACCGCAACTGGCTTAGGTCGACAGCGATCGAGGCCTTCCAAAGCTGATGGACTTTACAAGTCATATACTCCAGTGCGACAGAGCTGTCGCGTTGGACTACATAGACGTACGACGAATTAACACAGATGTAGTGTCGATGTGCATCTGCGACTATTGTCAAGAAAGGGAGAGCCGTGGAATGTATGACTCATGAGAGTGGCCATGCGCTACCATCTTTACATCATTTGCGACCATAGGGCATATGCATACTCAGAACGCACCAAACATTGCTTTTAAGTCATCACGCATGTGCCTACCGCTGTAAAAATGCGGCGGACCCTCATTTTCGTAATGATGATTGGTCTTGCTCATTCCCCGAGCTGGAACATTGTACGCCATGATGTCCATCCACTCGCTGTATCATAATACTTTGGCCATACATGCTCAACAAAGAATGGACACTGCCGCCGAAGACGTTGCGAATTCGACAGCATCAAGCCGAATATAAATCGAGTTTGTGACCTGTTTTTCCTATCAGATTGTGTTTGTCGCAGGCCATTCATCGATACGTAGTATTGTTGATTGCAAGGCGAGCTGATAAGAAAGCCCGCCCTTACCTGTGTTCAATAGGGTCCGCGAAACTGGTGTTACGCGAATGCGTAGCATCTGCTTGGCAAAAAGGCGTGGGCACATGCCCTACTGTTCATTACGACCACAGTTAGCACTGCATTTTCTTGGAACAAGAACAAAGACCTCGAAAGAGACAACGCCGGCGTAGTGCGAATACAATTTGTCTATATGGTCATGACAATGGTATGCGGCATATTTAGATTACGCACCAATCGTGCCAGCAAATCGTTCTCGTCATACTTGGTCATACAATAACATACCAAGTACTGGCGAAGGCAGGCTGTGCTCCGACCAGATGCTCATGTGCGACTAAGCTTTGGCTGATACGATTCGGTTTTGACATCGTACTTACTGCTGCATCCATGGATTGCGTAACACAGCTACGCTTCCATGTATGCAGTTGTAAAAAGAGAGCAAGTCTGCAGCTAGTGAGTGCATCATCACATCCTACTTGAGCTGATGGAAAGTCACGTGAAAGCTGTCGATGAGGTCGCCAGGAGTCTTTGTAGATACTTTTGCACTTGATGTATAACAGTGCAATACCAACTACCGTCTAAAACTCGTCGGACAGTCTACAATGGGACCGCCAATGGTTCTTACTGTGGCAGCATGGGTAAATGAAAAGGAAGATTACGATAGCAAAGTAACTACAGTCTAATATATGCTGAAACGTCACACAAACGTTGGCCGCATCATACTATATCGTGCCGGCTGTGATCACTACGTCAAATTCTCATGAGATAAAGCTTTTAGCATCCCTCGATCTTTCTGACCGTGATTCGAAACGCTCTTGCTCCTAGTCTGTCGACGTCTGAGACCCGTACAATGTTAACAACGAGTCCGTGGCTAACTTGTGAATGTTGACCATCTTCTTAGCGGCTCCAAATCACTTGTTGTGGCTACCGGCGACTTGACATACCTCATGGTGTGAGTAGCAATCCGACCAACAGAGGGCGTTTTCTATGTGCTCCCTGCTGCCATGCACTTGCCGATTATAGCACAACTGTTTGTAAGGACCATGCAAGCAGCTTGTACATTGGACCAGGAGAAGTCAAGTCAAAAGACCACCCTGGCGGGGCGCAGGTTTTTTGTCCATTCACTCTCTGCTACCATACAGGCATGCAATGAGCCGCATTCTACGAACAGATCTCGCAATGTATCGCTCCAAGTCTAGCAACCTTTACTAGTGTCGCAAATGTTGGTGAAAAAAAGAGCTCCGATGTTGCGTCACCGCGTCTCTGGTGCTATTTGCATCCCCGTCTGAGGTAGTACATATCGTACTGTCGTCCCAGCCACCTCGTTGGTGTTACTGCAGCATAAAGTGACACCTAGAACGACAGCACTAGTCTTGTGGCCATGCAAAATGTGCCGCGCGGTCGCTTCACTCAGCTCGATTTGTACCGGTTGAACACATATACGCATTTAACATTGCCTAGCCCCTTTTGACGCCACCCAATTTACGTTCGCATTGCAGCAGAAGCTATGACAATGCTATGCAATCCGTAGCAATGCGCGTGGTGATGCCTAGCGATTGACTAAACGTCTTTCGGTCTGTTTAGCGGCCAGAGCCGTCTACTGCTGGATCTGCAAACACGGCCGACTGCAATCGACGATGTGGAACTCTGTAGAGACAAAACGGTGAGCTCCTCCTTCGTTCTCGTTCGAATCGAATAGAGCACAGGCACGGGTCTGTTCACCTGGTATGGGAGCTTTGCACTCGACCAAAATGCAAACTGTGGAGCTAAGTGCCATATGCTTTCTCGTCACGTTGCAGTAGCTGGTAAACCGTTTCAATTGCATGTATTGCGAGTATCCGATAAGAAACGGCATCTCCACATGTCGTTAACCTGCCGAATCCGATTGCAAGATCGTGGCTGGAACGACCGCAACTGTAAATTCAAGCCTGCACGAACCACGAGGGCTATCCCATATGGATAACATAGATCATGTCAAGATGGTCATATATTGTTGCTCACCACCTCTTGCAGACCGTTTGCCCCTATCAACACATGCACAAGCACCACCTTTCCTGTACTTTGTATCTAATCGCTGCGATACGCTTCCATTGCACAAAGCTTAGCTACTCAGGTAGCTCATTTTGCATTCGACGCTGTACCTCGAAGCAAAGCATTCTCTGATCTGATGTCTACTTTGCCAAGGTCACCGCTTGGCAATACGCATTCTGTGCTCCTCTAGAATGTTCACAAGCAATAAGAGTATTGCCCTGCTCCTCGCTGTAGCGGCTGTCTTTACTGGCTCAGCCGCAAAGGACGAAGCTGCTAAATTTGGCGGATTACTAGGTATGGGCGGCATGGGAGGTGGAATGGGCGGCATGGGAGGCAGACTTCCTGGCATGGGTGGCATGGGCGGTATCGGCGGTGGTAAACCTTCTGTCATAGGCGACATGGGAGGTATGGGAGGTATGGGCAGTGCTAAAACTCCCGGCATGGGCGGCGGCAGTTTGTTTAATTTCCTGGCGCAGGTGGCGGCGCTGGAGGCGGCGGTAATTCTGGTGCAGGCGGCGGCAAGTCGGCATTTGGAACGGGCGGTGGAATGGGCGGTACAAGCAGTATGTACCCCGGCACAGGAGGTGCAGGACCTAGCTACACGATGCCCGCTTGTAACACCGGCGGGGCAGGGCTAGAAATAGTACATCCACTTGCTCCAAGTACCGGGGCCGGGTTTTCGAATGGCGCAGGAGCCGGGACTCCTCCGGTCGGTTTGGGTGGCGCAGTGACAGCTTAGCGCTCTGTCGGTAGCAAGCGTAGCGAAGCACAGAGTGTTACTAGTGCAAAGAGAAGAAGAACAAGTTGTTGGTGTGTGGCAAATTCCAATGTGATATTTGTTGCCAGTCATTCATACATGCAATCAACGTGCTTGTAGCACGAGGAAGAACGTTTACACGAAAATTCCTTTTTAACGTCTTGACTCTTGCCGACCCCATCAATCTCAATCAATCAATCAAGTGACAGGTCGCACGATTCTTGGAGTCGCAGGTCATTGCCAGTCTCTTCGTTCAAGACCACGCCGGTAGACGATAACGTGAGCTTCCCTTGTCCAGAAGATTTCTATGAAATCGCTCATACGCAGGAGCTGGACCTCCTACGGCCAATTCGGGCAATGGAGACGTTTCAAATTTGAAGTAGTATCGCCGTCTTCGATCCGAGTGCGAACGTGCGTTGTTGGTTTTTCTTGTTCGTTTGTTTGCCAGTAGGTCATGTGTCACCGTTCATGCATTTGTCTTTCGTAGCGAATATAAACAAAGCCGTCGCTCATTGCACATAACTACCACCGTGTCGTAATACACCTGTTTATTCATTTTATTGAGGTAGAAGCTAAGTATCTGTCACGCACAATCACGAATTCAGGTTATATCATCCGAAATTACATTCGCTGCATCGTTTCTAGGTTCTTCATCGCAAGCTGTTCCAGTTTCAGACTTCCCGTAGCTGCCCAAAAAACTTTGAGCCTGTAAGACCGACGCAAGCACATCGGATAGATACTTCTCGTTCACCATGCAGCGTCATTAGGTAGGCGCGCATCGAATCTCATTGGCTTGCGACAGCAACTGAAGTAAAAGACGAGTGACCGTCGAGCTCTGTAAATATCCCCTTACGCTTGTAGCGCGACCGATGTCGTTGTCGTGGAGACACAACATCTTCAGTAAATCAAAAGATGGCTGCTACCGACACTTGGCGATAAGCATTGTCAACTTTCCCCATACTAAACCCACCAGAATGTAGCGCACAGACCAGATCAATTCTAACGGAGCGCTCTATGTACAATTCTCGTTCAGATTTAAGCAAAATATATTGAGGTTAAAAGTCGCACAGAAAGGCTAACTATGCATTCTACTTGGACAAGGGAAACGTCATACGCGCGATGATAGCCATTCTGACAAACGAAGTCAAGCCTCATCGATGCGAGACCAGCAGCCTTTTCATTTAGCCTAACACGGACCACCTAACATCAAACCATTATCGCTTATGTTGTTTTGTCATCAAAACTAAGTGTAGATTGCAGTGTAGCAAACAGTTCCGAAAATTGTACATCTGATGTTATCTTGCCTGGACCTATGAACCAACATATTGCTAACCTTGCGGTTTAGTAAGCATTCCCCATGTTGTTTACAAATTAAAGAGCTGAACTAACGAAAAACCCAATTGCCCATCTGTAGTCGAGCACTACGTAGAAATATTGAGGTGGTATTAGTGACATGTTCTAACGATGAAGTCTTGCTGCAGCGGCGTATGGTCCATCAACAATGACAAGATGAGCTAATATGTAGCTCGTACATCATAAATCACTCTTCCGCGTTCGCATTCTCCATGTTGTCTTTATGCAGCGGTGATCCATGTCAGCCCTCGTTAGGCAAGCATTGTTGTCCAGATCCGGTGTGAACTCCAGCATATCTTCTACGCTATTCCAAAGTTTATGCGATGACCTCAGCATCCGGAACTTTCGGTACTTAATATTGATAGATAGTTACAATATAGGGACTAAAAACTTTGCTGATCAGCAGCAGAAAGTGGAGTGAACAGCACTGTGCTCAAGTATAAGCATACCTCTCGCACTGGTCAACAATCCAATTACTGTACTATATTGCTCGTATGATTCTAGCAAGAGACAACCTAGCTTTACGTGTGTAACCATGTGTGCCGCGAATTACTCTACTCGGCTAGGTCCAAGGACGAGGCAATCTAGCTCCACGTGTGAAGCCATGTGTACCGCAAATGTGTACGTGTTCCTTTCCATGCGTGATGCCACTTGGTACATGTTTGTGGTTTCATGGACCATGTTTGTCAGTTAAATGCCATGTACTAGACGCTCAGCTTGCTTGTGTTGCTTTTACCGCTCAATCCAGCAGTCAATCATATTGAGGCGACGGCCATCGGTAAGACTAGAACGACTTATTGCGTCGCTGTTGCTAGCGTACGTGTCTCACCTTCACCGCCGACAATGCGTGCTCTGCGTTTGACGATTGCGCTGGTGAATAGTTGAGCTTCCTGATTGCCTAAAAGTACGATGTTGGTGCAAAGTAAAGCAGTTATACTGCTTCGATCGGATGGTTGATGCGGCTAAGTAAGGCTTCGTAAGTTACAACTTGTACGAAGGTGGTGCTTACGGACTCGTAGAAATAAGAAGGAAAAGCACGTGCTATGTCGATGGAGGAAGCACTCTAGACAACACTGTGCCTGGCAAAATGCTTCCACAATGTTCACGAAGTACCGTAAACTCTTTCAAACCTGATCTTGTTTCGACCTTCCGTCATCGGATCCCCCATTCTGGTCGACTTGCTTGATAGGGTATACCTTCAAAGTGTAGATCACCATACCCGATATATTGCGTGTGGCTCCTTGAGACAAAGAAGAGCCTAACTTGCCTCCTCGATTGGATATGTAGCAGGTAAGATGACGGGACGGGATCCGGCTGCCCATAATGGCTTTGAATGCGGGTATTCCACACAAAAACAACGTCGCACTCCGTTTTTGGCTGCATCTAATTCTGCAACGTCTCGCCTTTGTCACGTTGGCAAAACCTATTTATATCTGTCACCCAACCCGTTGGCCGACAAAAGCAGCAGAGTCTGACTCGTTGCTAGACTATATTAGGTCCAACACACCCACTTCACATGGTGCCTTTTTTGGGTCCCCGAAATAGACATCACCGACCCACTCTTCACAGCTTCAATGATTGCGCGGCAAAATCACTACCAAATAAGGGTCCCAGACGCACTCGTGCAACCATCGCACCACATTGCGCCACCCCACCCGCGACCATCACTCCGTTCCGCACGCACTCATGACGGCGCCGTCGAGCCCGAACCTCATGCGGTTCGACGACGACGACGACGACGACGCGGCGACGGCAGCTGCGCTCCCCTTACCACTGACGCCGACGTCCGTGTCCTCTGCCGACAGCACCGCCTCCCGCGCCTCGCCGCCGCCTTCGCCCGTGGACAACGCGCCCCGCAGCGCCGCAGGAGACCACCACGCGCTGCACTTTTTCGTGTCGTGTCAGAACGTCGACGGCACTTCGCTCGTGTCGTCCGCGCGCTCGGCCCACACGATCGTCCGGGGCGCCCTCAGCCGCCTGAGCAGCGCCGCGAACCTGAACAGCGCCAAGTCGCAGCGCGAGAAGCCGCCGACCGAAGTGAACGTTGAGGTACGCGTCCTCGAGGAGACTCTGGTGTCGAGTGCAGTGGCGGGTCCGGTGGTGCTACCGGTAAAACCGGTACATACCGGTATTACAAACGGCCGGTCACGGCACACGAGCGTCGCGTCCGAGACGGACGTGAGTGGCGACGGACGCGCAGAGAACGCACAGCCGTTGGCGCTGGCCACAGACGACCGGCTCTCGAGTCCGTTGTCGTCCGCTCCGAGTGACAGCTACTGGAGCGAACGGCGCAAGAGTCGCGATCCGCGGTTTTCCGTGGGCTTTTGTGTCCATTGCTCGAACGTGGCAGAGTTCGACCGCCACGTGCAGATTTATGTCATGATTCCAGACGAAGGGACGTCGTCCAATCGGTACAGTCACGTCTTTGGCAATGCGCTGACGTCGTTCCAGGAGATGTACAGCGTCGCGAAAAGTGGCACGAGGAAGCGGGAGATGACGCTGCCAGTCCATTCGAGTGTGCTGGACGGCGCGACGGTGACGCTGCAGTTTGCCGACATTCAGCCGCAGCAGCCCTCGCTGTTTGCAACTCAGCACAAGATCTTCAAGAGCTTTTTGTTTTACCCCTTGATGAAGGAAGAGCATGCGGAACTGCAAGTTGCAGACGCAAAGTTAGCGGTCGAGGAGGCCACTGAAGTGGAGTTTAGTGTCAAGATCCCGTTGCAACTGCTGCGAGTGTGTCAGTCGGAGCTGCTGCAGATGTACGACGCGTGGAAACTGCGCTATAACTACAATCGCAAGCAACATTGCTGTTTTGTAAACGATGCAGAAGCGCTGAACTTTGGATACGATGTGTTTCGGGTCCAAGTAGTTTGCGGACGTGGATTGAGGACACGATCACGTGCTAGTTCTTCTACAACCGCGTCGAGTGCTGAGCAGGACATGATGATTGAGCGTGGTTCACGGCCATCGCGCACTTCGGGTTTCGCAAAGGGATTGACCGGAGGCCGAGAAGGATTTGTGTCTCGTATAAAGGCTGGCAAGTGGGGGAGTAGTCACGCATCTTCGTTTGCCAGTCATTACTCTGACTTTACCGACACCGGAGGGGAAACCGCTAGCAGTATTCACCCCTTTGTCGTTGTAAAGTATGAAGACGGCATGCATGGCAATCAGGAGTTCACCATTGGAAAGACGAATACCGAGTACGACGCTCCAGATCCTGTGTGGTCAACAAACAAGTGTGCAGGCACGAAATGTCCACACGGCAAGCCGAATGATAAGTTTTACGCTTCGACGACGCTGAACAGCCGCGTGGTCGTGTCTCCAGTAAACGCGTTGAAGCAGTTTTTGTTTTATCGGTCAAGCATGTCTGGCCAGCAACTTGTAGGATGGTTGCGCTTCCAAGTCTATAACGAGCATTACAGCTACATGAGTGGTATTGAGAACGAATTGATTGGTGAAGTAATTATTCCGCTGCAAAGCGTACGCGAGGCAATGACAGCCGAAGAAACAACTGTATTCGACGACGATGAGAGCGCCGAAGACAGCACCATTGGCAATCACGCGGCAAAATCACACCAAGTCGTGACATCTCTCACGCTTGTGGACTGGTTTGATGTACGTCCGCCTTCGACCGATGAGGTTTGTGGACGGATTCAGCTCCGCGTCAACATCTTGCTGGCAAATCCACTCGAAGTTACAAGCGATACCCTTCTGTCTCCTGCATCGAGAACGTTATCAGCCAATTCGAGAAGGCACCGACGGGTTGCTGATAGCTCGCCACCTCCGGACGATAGCATTATTGAGAGCAAGATCCCGCTGAACTTTTTGTATCCACATGTGCTGAACATTCGTAAGCACTTGACTGAGGTTACCGAAATGATTCGACTTACGGAACAGCTGGTTAAGGAAGAGAGGACGTTCAAGTCAAGTCTACACAAAAAGCGCGCTGATATACAAGGCATGCCGACGAACTTGCATGTGTCGTACTTCCGCATATTTCGTCGATTTGGATCTCAATCTGTGTCAAGCTCACGAATGGATCGACAAGCGACTGCACAAGACTCATTTGACTTAGAGGACAGTAGTGTGCGCCGTTGCTCGTATGAAACGATATCTATACAAGAGCGCGTGGTGGGCTCAGAGACACATGCGACTGTAACATGCGGTGCTCCGACTGCCCATGCCATGGGGCTAAGGGATTGCGGTTTGCGAGAAATGGAGCTCGAGATGCACAACTTTGTAGCTATTTTGGAAAAATGTAACCCGCAGCACACGGGAGGCCCGGTTGAGGACAGTAATTGCTACGTTGCAGAAGACTCATCGGAAGTGTATTATCCCCCTTTCGAAGATGAATGTGAGGCGGAAGTCGAAAATGACATCCTTAGCTCCGTCAGTAGCACTTCTTGTGACTCAGTTTCGGTCGAAGACGCAGATAGTCCCACTGCTACTGCGCTTGCGTCCAGTAAACCTGAGCTTCGCAGGAAAACCTCGACGTACTCGGTCATGGCTCGCAAAGCTGCGACTGTTCGAGCAAAGGCGATGTCCAATAATCGTTTTGTCAAGAAGAGAAATTCTCGACAGCTTGACCAGGTCAGTGATGTCAAGACAGCTGCGTATGCGAAATACCCTCTGCTTCGTACCGAGTCAGCAGATGGTGCAGACCCAACAACTTCCTTGCCATATGCTGTCCAAACCTTGTGTCGACTGGAAATGCTGCAAGCCGAATACTACATGAGGAAGAGCGTAGCTGTCTCTCAATCTGCGAGTAGTCTTGTCACCAGCTTTCTCGCAGAGCTGGACTTGTGCCTACAAGAGCGAAACGTAAAGGTGCTGGACCAGATGGCAAAGATTGGTTTTTTGATCGGATGGGAAAGCCTCATTTCGTCTCATGGAAAGGAGTTGTACATGATTTCCGACGCTTGGGTCGCCATCAAATGTCTCGATACATTCTCTTTTCAGCTTTTTGAAGGGGCTGACATGGAAGTGGTGCTCGAAAAGCAAGAAGGCGCAGGCTACGTGATCAAAGTTCCAGTGCCTTCGACTGAGTTTCCGCAACTCCCGGAGAGCTTGAGGATAGGCGGATTGATTAGCGTCACGGCCGTGTTGTTTACCCAAGGCATTAACGAGATGCAGAGCTTGGCAAACATGGTGGGACATTCTGGGGTGTCGATTCAGCGCACGATAAATAGCACCAGCCTCCATACCATTTCAGAATACTACAGTCGCTTTACCGATGTCTGTGGGACCGGGATGTCCGAAGCGAGTGTGGGCTCGCATCCGGACGAGATCTTGCGTAACTTGCGCACGAGTGTGGAGTGCGAAAACTCGGCATCAAAGAACACGTGCATTTTGTTGCACGCCGCGGACGCAGTGCGCAGTCTCAATGGCGGTCGAGTCACCTATTGCAAGTCCGGCAAAGACCGAACAGCAATGAGCACTACACTCGAACAGGCTAGACTTTTGGTCCAACGAAAACGTCACGTGCTTCAAGAGATCGAGTCGGGAAGTGCCAGCGAGTACGGGCCGCTCGAAGAAGTGAAGGAAGTGGCCAATATTATGCGCGAGTTTGGCGTCCGCATCCATATCGCCAAGAAGAATGTTGGCCGGTTCAAGTACTCGTTCAACTCATTGCAGCGCAAGTTGCTGCCTGAGATTTATCGGCCGCCGATGTCCACAATACAAGATATGGTGACGTCAGTGACAACGCGGGATTCCTGACTAAACAAAGCAAACGACACATCAAGTGAGTGAATTCGATGCACGTATTCATTCGAAATGGTATCTTAGACACGCATGTCGAGACGAGCGAGCTCAAGTCGACTATGTAGCAGGTGGATGACTACCAGCACCATAGTGGCCGTGGCCTCCAGATGCGCTGAGAGCAGTGACAACTTTCTGCCGTCCCTGCTCTTTGCACCCTCGCGCATATATCTATTCGTCCGCCTCCTCCTCGCTTTCCTCTTCCGGCGTCTCGAGCCACGTGAGCCACGCCGACGTCTGGACAATCGCCTTCATGCGTCCAGGCACGTCTCCGTCGACGTCGTACTTGTGTTCCAAAAAGCCCGCTTCGTCGATGATGTCCAGACTGTACAGCGCCATAAAGCACTTTTCCAGCACGCCCGTGGGAAAGTCGTACTTGTTCAAAAAGATCTGCAACGCGTACAGCGCCTGCATCTGGTCCTTCTTGTCCGATCCGTCCATGCCGAGCTTCAGCAGCTCTCCGTACGCAGGCATAGCGATCCAGTTGGCGCTCGACTTGGCGACGTCTTCGGCAGCCGCCGTCACCATCTCAAACAGCATGGCCCCACTTGGTCGCCCATTGGCTGCAAACGCTTCCTGCGCCACCGCCGCGAGCTCCTCACCCTTCTTGCCGCTTGCCAGCACTTGTCGCATCGTCTCGCGGTCCTTCTCCGCCTGCTGCGCCAGCTCTTCGTCCTGCTGCTTCTTCGCTTCCGCCGCTTGGCGCTTGGCTTCTTCCGCCGCGAGTCGCTCCTCTTCGGCCTTTTTCTTGCGCTCCTCCCGCTTCTGCTGCGCGCGCAGCTTCTTCTCCGACAGCGGCTCTGGCTCCGGCGTCGCGGCCGTCTTCCTCGCCACCGGCTCGTCGTGTCTCGATCCCAACCGAACAGCGCCCAACGACGTCGTCACGTCGTCGGAGCCGCGCGCAGCAAACCGACCTGCAGCCCGTCCCCCGCCCGTGAAGCGGCCGCCACCTGCACTGGCCATGTCACCGGCCTCTCGGAACGAGCTCAGCCGTCCGCTGCCGCTGCTCGTGGCCCGCACGTCCCCCGACGCTTCGCCCCGTCGCGCCAAATTCAACCGCATGTGCGCCGGCCGCTCCTCTGCTTGGAACGCGTCCCGAGACGGACGTTCGAAGCGCGACGACGCCGCCGCACCACCGCCGCCGCCTCTCCAATTGCTACCGCCGTTGCCGCTGCTGCTCTCGTCCATGCGACTGCTGCTGCGGTCGCCGCGCCACTGGTCCGACTGGTCACTGCGCGACTGGTCGTTGCGGTCGCCGTAGCGGTCGCTGCTGTAGCGGTCGCCGCCCCGTCCGCCGCCTCGGAAGTTGCCCGTGTCGTCGTCGGCGCGCGCGCGCGGTCCAGAGGGCAGCGACGCTTCGGGGATGTAGGCCGCGGCCTTGTCGCCGAGGAACTCGCCGAGGCCAATCTTTTTCGCACGCACCATCTTGTGACGAGGAGCTCCGGAATGAACGGGGGGGGGGGGCGAGCGACCACTCGATGGAGGGTTATGGCTAAGTAGAGAGAGGCGGGGAGCGATCACTCGATAGAGGGTTATGGCTAACGAGAGAGGAGGGGCGGAGGGAGGAGGGGAGAGGCAACGCCGGGTTGGCTGGCGGGCGGCGCGGTGGTGTGTGCCACACACGACGAGACGCGGTCGAGGTTTTTTCGATGCCCTCACCATCTGTGAAGTGGCACGGGCGGCGGCTGTTGTTGGTTGTGGAAGTAGACGCGTGTAGCTGAGTTTGACGTTCTCGCGCATTGGTTATGGTCGACGTGACTTGCAGATCGTAAAAAAGGTATTGACGAACGTTGAGGAGCACTCAATGTCATACGTGTCATGCGACTTCTTCTTTCATGGCAGCTCATGCCGTGTCGCGCAGGTTGGCAGGCAGACAACCGATTTGTCGAAAAAAAGTTGTGGACGGAGCATGACTCGTGGCAGATAGCTGGGCGCAGAAATCCGCTGCAAATGTCACCGAGTTCATCTCCTCGTTATTCAGGCCGTATTCCTTACGTGTGCAACAATAGAGAGGCAGCCTCACGATCATCTCGATCGTTGTCACAGGGTGACACGGCAGTTGCCCCGGTACCGATTGTGCAAACCTGTCTACAATGCGTGATCGTTCACCAAAATGTCGACCACAAGGAGACTAACGATTGAGAAATCGACGACGCATGGAGATCAAATGAACCCGTCACTTCGCACAGATTGTCGCGTCCATACTAATTGCACTCAACCCGACGCATGTCTTCTCAATCCAATTGTCGACTCGTGCGCTACCGCTTTACTTTTCATAAGTATCTTATGTTCCCCCTCCTCACCAGAAAAACCAACACTTGACCAACGTGTCTGACACTCTGACTTCTTATATCCTCCTCAATCCATTCCCATCGTCTTCTTCGCGCCCGATATAAAAATCGAAGAGCTCCGTCCCCATCACATACGTTCGTCATACCTCAAGTCTCAGCATCGCACGCAACCAAACGATAACATGGCTACAGACGAGTCTCACGCAGCAACAGCAACAGCAACTGCAACTGCAACAGCAGCCAAGAGCCCATTCTACCTGAAGAACGCCCTATTGTCGATGCTGTCGCTCTACGTCGCCCACCAAATCGGCGGCTACCTCTTGAGCCGAGAAGATCCGATTGTCTGCTCTGTGCACGTGAACGACCACTCGTGGGTGGGCGAGAGGCGCTACGAGTCGCTGCGGTTCTTCGACCCGAAGAAGACGCACCACGAGACCCAATACGTTGCCATGCGGGACGGCACGGACTTGGCGGTCGACACGTACTTAGCAGAGTACCTCCACGCGACTCAGCAGCAAGTGCCGACAGTGCTCTTCTTTACCCGTCACGGTCGGGGCTACACGCTCGACTTGCCCTTTGCTCTCTTTGCACAGTATGAACGCAAGTTCACGAACCCCCGCGTGAATGCCTATATCCAGCGCCTGGTCACCAATGGGTACGCGTGGGTGGCTGTCGACGTCCGGGGTACAGGGGCTTCAGCAGGCACGAAGGCGTATGACTTTGCCGACAGTGAGGTTCGAGATGCTTACGATGTGATTGAGTGGGTCACGCAGCAAGTTTGGAGCAATGGAGACGTTGCAGTCTTCGGACAGGGACTGGATGGAGTTGGCGCTCTGTTGGCGGCAGCGAGTGGTCATAAGGCACTGAAAGCTGTGTCGGTGAATAGTGCACCGATTGACGTGTTTCAGGACGTGTTGTTCCCGGGAGGTGTGAAGAACGTCAAGGCATTGCGTGACTGGGCGTCGTTCACGAGCGCAACCGATCGGCAGGTCCGGTGGGACGCGATCCCGACGCTCAAACCGAGACTGATGCTCAAACACTTTGGAGGGAACGTCTACCGCGTGGATGACGACGAAGCGAAGTTTGACACGTACATTGATCAGCACATGGCAAATTTGAATCTAGATGCGGAGCTCATGGACGTGCAGTTTCGAGACGATAAGTTTGCGTCGAGCAATGTCACGACGGAGCAGTTGGACGCGATTCGTCATCTTGGCGCCATTGCAGCTTCAGGCGTCGCGCTACAGATGTCGGCTGGGTTCTTTGAGATGGGCGTGGCACGCTCTAGTATCTTGCTGTTCAAGTACTTGACGAATACACTGGACGAGGACACATCGTCGCTGCTGCCCGTGCTGCCGAACGAAGCGGTACAGGCCGTGGAAAAGGACGCTACGCACTATCGGCTGACGTTGGGACCGTGGAGTCACGGCGGTGTTGACAACGCAGACCCGTTTGCGTTGTCGAAACAAAAGTGCTTTTACCACCTGGACGAAGTGAGTCGCTTCTTCGATCACCACATGTACGCTAACCGCCGCACGATCACGAAACTTGACACAGAGCTACCTGTGCACTACTTTACCATGGCGCACAACCGCTGGAAAGAGTCGAGCACGTGGCCACCGACTCATGTAGTGGACATGACGTTCTACCTTGGTGCTAGCCGGGAGTTTCAGTCCGAGCCTGAGACCGAGACGAGCCATGTGACTCGCAACGTGTCGACGAAGCCAATGCTGGAAGACGTGTCGCGCTGGAGCATGCTCGATCATTTGTTCGGCCTGCGCCCCATGTACTACACTGATCGCACGTCACTGGCTGACCAGTACGTGACGTTCCTGACCCCAGAGCTACCGCTGACCGAAGTCACGGGCGAAGCAGAGCTGCGTCTTTTTTTCTCGGTCAACCAGTCTGCTGTCAACCTCGTGGCTTACCTTGAAGACGTCGATCTCACCGCTCCGTTTCCGAACGAGAACAAACGCTCTGGTGTCACGTACATCACAGAGGCGCTGTTGAATCCGATGCACAACACGATCCGTCCGGATGCAAATGTGCACTCGTTCAAGCGTGCCGACTCGCGTGAAATCGTGCCTGGACAAGTGTACGAAGCCTGTTTTCGCTTTCAGCCGACGTCGTACGTCGTCAAGCGGAACCACCAGATCCGTGTTGCTGTGGGCGTTGCCAGCCCACCAGACTTTGACTCGATCAACGGGCAGGAAGCCACAACGCTCACGATCCACTTTGGAGGTGCCTATCCGACGAAGCTCACGTTGCCGTCTTACGCAGGTGTGTACGAAGCGAACATTGTGCCGCGTGTGGAGATTGAGGAAGAAGAGCTGGAATCGGCTTCGACTGAGGAATCCGAAAAGCTCTCAAAAGAAGAGGTTGTGGACAATCTGTCTGATGGGTCCGATGCGAGGGATGAGCTGTAGATATGCAATTGGCATACTACGTCGGATGTCAGTGCAGCCAAGAGACTGCGATCTCGAGCGACAGAGATTGTGGATGCTCGACTGTTTGGCGTCTTTACACCAACTGCGTAGCACTTGCTACTCTCCGAGACGCAATCAGCTGTCGCTTAGTTGACAAAGCTCAGGCAGTGGCAACGGGGGCTCGAGTGTCGCCATGACATTCATACGAGGACGTCGTCCACTTAGTACTGCGGGCACGAGTCGCATCAGGCGAAAGGGACGTGCTATCGACAGAAGCCAACGATGCAGACGTGAATGTGAGCAGCAACAACCACATTTGTAACGACGAACACCTGGACAACGTGCGAGCATCGCTTCACCAGCCGATGCATAGGTTCGGTTTGCTCCAAAGCTTGACGTACTTGCAAAGAAAGCGTAGCAGGTATCTCATGAGGAAATCGTATGGAGAGAGCTTACGTTGTACGCAGCAACAGTCGACCTTTACAGTCGAGCTGGACTATTGTTTGCACCGTGTCGTGAAGATTGTATGTACTTGATCCGAGCTCTCTTTCGTAGGACGCACGTGACGGCATGATACTGAACAAGCTGCAGCAATACGCTCTTTGAAACTCTTTTGCTGTGTTTCGTCATCTCCCATTATGCCTACAAAGTCAGTGCTCTACTGAACATTGCCCGAGCTGCAGTACTATGTGCCAAAAGTCGCCACCTACTCGCTAAGCACGATGTCGTTGTGCACCGAGATGCAGTCACTCACTGTCATTTCAATGGCGCTTTCGGGTCTCGAAATGGACAACAAACGGCTCGATCGATGCCGTCGCGATCCTTTGAGCTCCACATGCTGACAAACGGGCCTTCAACTCTCTGGAGTACCCTTCATCAATACAGACACGCGTTCACTTGCACTCCCTTCCTCATATTTCCAGCATTCAAATCTATCTGTAAACCACAAGAGGTGACACGAATCGAGACAACTTGCTCTGCGAGCGCTTCGATGCAGTCGGATATAGGATCGCACTGCTTATAACTCGGTATCTCCGGCGCCTTCATAAGTGAGCACGAAACGCACACGCGTGACATCACCCCGACAAGCGCTACTTAGCACATTGCGACATTCGCTCAGTCGTATCCTGCACCGTGATACAAGCTACGACAATTCTCACCCGACTTTAGTCCACTTCATCCAAATCCAAATCCCCATCAGTCCGACTTTCGCTGAGGCGGCGGCGATAACTTGTGGCGATATTTTCGTTCGAAGAATGCAATACCGGAGACTCTGGAGGAGTGGATAACGAGGATGATGATGAAGACGACGATGCAGAGGATGGCAAGGAATAGCCCGGATCGTCCTCTTGAGCGTCGCTCGTAGTATGTTCTGCTGGACTACTGCTGGCTTCACTCTGCACAAAGCTCCGGACTCCACTGAGAGTCCGGCGCACCACGTCCAAAAAAGTAGGAAAACTCGCTGCTAAAGTCGAGGAAGATGATCCCGCAGATGCACGTCGTGACCGCTCGTTATCACCACGGCGACTATCCTCATCGATATTTTCACGAAATGCTTCAGACGATCGTGCTCGTAGTCGCTCTTCCGAGGCCCCGCTGGTCGTGCCACTAAACTCTTGAGACCTGTCGTCATTTCTAGGCGTGCGTGGCGAAGGCAATCTTTCCAACGGCGAAGGAGGGCGGTACGCCGACCGCCCTGACTCGACGGCATCGAAGTGCGTGTAGCCGACACTCGACTCATTGTCGCTATTGTCCTCATCATTGCCGAACGAAGCCCCGAAAAAATCATTCGAGAGAAAATCATCCAGGTCACGCGCTACTGCACGTTGCTGCTGCTGCTGCTCGCTTTGGTCGTGTACTTGTGCTTGGGTGCCGTGGCGATACGGTCCTAGCAGCGGAACACGACTTTGATCGCTTTCTTCATCGCTAACGTGCGTGTCACGATTCCGTGCGTCGCTGGTACCGAAGGACCTGCCAAGAAAAGGCAACGAAGGCGCCGGAGCGCTTTGAGACAGACTGCTCGAGTCAGACATCGTGCCTGTGTCGGTGCTGCCGCGCGTCAGCGCAGCAAGCGACGACAGAGATACCGGTGCCACGATCGCGTGGATATGGACATCAATACTGCGTCTTGGCTGGTTCACCTCATTCGACGCACTTGGTGACATCGCAATCAAATCCCGAATCGACAGAGTATTGTCCTGCGCTTCCATTGAGGCCGAGACGCTCTCACTCTGTCGTATCGCCACGTCTCCGCGGCTACGACGCAACGCAGTTGCACGACGCTCCTGTTGCCGGTGCGACGTGCCTCGCAGCTCGGGACGCAACAACGGGTCCAACAACTGCACCGAATCCATCAACAGCCGTCCAAATCGATCAAAAAGTGGAGCCACCAAGTGAGCTGCCTCTGACACTGCATTCGCTTGCAATTCCGCGTCATCTCCAGTCGTGCCCGAGTCCACACTCTCCTGCTGCACATCGACGTCATCGCCATTGTGATCGTCACCGTCACCACCATCGTCACCATCCTCCGCCTCTTCCTCATCACCGTCACCGTCATCACTGCATTCCTCCTCCCCCTCCTCCTCCTCCTCCTCCCCCTCCTCCCCCTCCTCCTCCTCCTCCTCTGCCTCCTTTTCCTCTTCGTCCTGCCCTCGTGTCGTCTGCACCAGTTGCTCTGCACACAAATCCGCCAGTCGGTCAATGTGCGGCATCATCTCGCGCATGACATTGCGCACGTCGACAATCGTGCGGCGCACGTCGGCCCCACCCACTTGTGGCGCACTGGGCACGCGCGTCGTCGGGACGGGCGACATGTGCGCAGCCGACCGGCCCGGCACAGTCCGCGTGCGGAAGGCCGCCAAGCGGTCCGACTGCACGTCGATCCACTCGTCCCAGCGCGCGGGCCAGCCATGGTAGTGCACCAGCACTTTGTCGTCTGCGAGCGCCAGCACAGTGCTCTCGAGCCACTGGTTCACCGTGTCCTTGACGTCGAGCCACTGGCCCACAAAGAACCGGCGCAATTGGCGTCGGGGCACTGTCCCTGTGCCTGTCAATGGCTCGACAAGAGCCGTCGCAAGGACCGTCCGGACCGTCAAGAGCCCCTGCGCCACAGGCTCCACGTCCACTGCCGCCTGCTGCTGCTCCGTCTCTGTTTCGTCCATTGCTCCCTGTCGCCCCACGTCCGCCACGCGCCCCGTGCGCTGCAGCGCCGACCGCAGCGTCGCTAAGTTCCACGCGGGGCCGTCGACGGGGCGGCGCGTGGCGGCGCTCGTGGGCCGCGCCGAGCGGCTGTGGGCGACGGGGCGGGCCACGAGCTGCACCGTGTGGCCGTCCTGCAGGTCGTAGAACGCGAGCGTGACGCCGTCTCGCAGCAGTTTGCCGCGGAAGATGAGCCGCTGGCGGGCGACGGCGACGGACGTGAGGCGCGCGATCTCCACGCGGAAGGCGGCCACGGACATGGACAGCGCAGCCACGACAGGGAACACGCGTTCGTCGAGCGTCTTGACGCGCAGGTGGAGCGCGTCGGGCGCCGGGGGGCGGCGCAGCGCGGGCGGCGACGGGGCGGCGTCGGCCATGGCGGGCAGAGGGGGCGGGGGCGTGAAAAATGACGAGAAGCGGGTGAAATGTCACGAGAAGCGGGTGAAATGTCACGAGAAGCGGCAATAGGGGCGTTGGCGCGCGCTTTTTTCGGGTGGGAGGGGACGCGGGCGAGAACGAGGGACTTGTTTGTTCTTGGTTGGGCTTTTGGGTGGACTGGGTTTGGGGTGTTTGGGTTTTGGGGTTTTGGGTGTTTGGGTGGGTTGGGGGGCAAACCGCTAGCAGCAACGACGATGCTGCTTTTTGCGACTCAGACCTGCAGCTTCCAGTCCATGTCAAGTCCATCTGGCGCGAATCTTCTTGCTAATTATTTCGCTACAAAGTATGATGCAGCCGATTGTGTCGGTCGACTCCATTGCTACTTAGTGACGTGATTTGAAAACTTGCAAATCTGCTGTACCGTTCGACATGCTGTTCATATTGTAAGCATCTACACGTGTGGTGTCTTGATTCTGTTGAGGGTACAAGAGTTTGTCAAGCTGCACTACGACGACGTAGGGTATGTATCCTTTGCGTCGACAGTGAACGTATGCATATCTCCGTTGTTGTTGTTGTTGTTTATCGCTCTATGATCCCAAATGTGATGAAGGATTGATATAGAGGAGTCCACAAGTCTGGAAAGCGCTGAGAACTCGAAACAGCGATCGGTCTGTGGGGCCGGAGTCTGGCAAAGACAGCGTCGACCGGATGCACAGACCACTTGTTTGACAGCAGAATTGCAGTCAACTAGTAGCTTCAACAAATGAACGCATCTGCTTGATCCTGGCACGCCAAGAGTGCGATAAACGTTGTAGATGTAACAAATGGTGCACGTCCGTCGATCGGCATCGTCAACAACCAGCAATGCTTTTTCGATTGCTGCTTGTTGGCGATCACAATGACTCGATAGCGTCGTATTGTCATTCCACTTGCGATGACCCGCAACTGTGTGCGTGTTCTATAAGCGGAACGTCGTCTATTCTAGTGTTAGCTTCGATATCTTACCTCAAAAATGGATTGAGCTCATCTTTTGTTGCAGGTACATGTACGATGCAAAGGCCTATCGACGACTGTGTAATGAGCCAGAGACCTTTTCGCTTCGAATCAGTCGCTCACCTTTGTCAGCGACGTCTTAGAGCTGTTCATCGCCACCTTTAGGAACAGTAAAAGGTACGCAGCAGCCACTGAGCTGGCAACTTTGACCTGCAAGTCCTCGCCCAGCTGCGTAGTACCCCACGTGCCGCTGTAGATACCGAGAATGACACTGCAGCCTAGAGACAGCACACACTTTGTGGTCAGTGTTGTCAAAGTCAAGAAGCACTGAGCATCGAATCCAGTGACAGCACCTCCCGCCATGACGGCCAAAGTGCCATTGGCACGGTGCATCCAGTCCTTCCACTGCCATCTCGTCTTCTTGCCCCCAAAAGTGGTAACGAGGCCCTGCACATCGTCAAGAACATCAACAATAACCACGACCACAACACATATCGTCAACAACACCAAAAAAATATATACATATACACATAAACGAATATCTCTCGGAAGTTTTTCAGCGCTACTTGTTGAATGGCAAAAGTGCAGTCAAGCAATTTTTCGTACCCCAAACAGATTAAGCGCCGACAATAGCGACGTCACGACAGCGACCCACGAGTGCGTCGACGTCAAATGCTCTTTTCCAAAGGTATTTTTGGTCAAAAAAGCTGCCACGCCGCCGATACTCAGACAGAGCATCGCAACTACGTGCGAAAATAGGTGCGTCTGGACAAGGAGCACTCTATTTGGTCCCACGATCGTAAACGCAGTCAATGCAACGACCGCAAATGTCGTTCGATAGAAATGGCTACAGCACAAAACGTACCGCGTCCGAAAGTTGGTGATACGCTTTCGCTCGAGCATCACGTACAGTCCCCTAGACGCATGTAAATTTGTCACGACTTCCGAGCGTGATATTGCAATACGACCACAATGTCCAGTAGATGATATGGGCAAAGCGTACAGTGGGAAGCACACTAGAAAAGCCACGGCGTTCGCTGCAGGGTGCACTGCAAACAGAGACGGCGATGCTGCACACTTGGACAGAATGATGACGCAAGGCACGCCCAGCAGGCCGCCGAGCACCAGCACTTCCAGTTTCTTGACCATTGTATGAAGGGGCAGTCCAATAGTGGTTACATAGGGGCACGATAGCGGACGGGGTACGATAGCGGGCGGGGTACAGCAGCGGATAGGGTACGGTAGCGGAGTGGGTACGCTAACATGCACATGGTTTATTTCGCTTGTGTTTGTATCGATGGCTACATCATCGCACTCCTGGAGCCATCGTGGCGCAATAGGCACAAAACGAGGAGACCACAGCTGCGCTTTCAAGCGACGGGTGCCACTTTCTTGGCGACAACTGACTGACCATCTCCGCGCTGCAGCACGAGCAACTTCTTCAGCAAGTTGACATGTGCTGCCACAATGAGCACTGTGAGCTGGAACTGTCTCCCTGGACCAAAGGTCGTTGTCCCCCACGAGCTCGTTTGCAACCCGTAGAGCATTGTGACAACACTGCCAATGTAGATCAGTACGCCTGTGATGGCGTGGGTCTCGTCCTTCCATTGCCAGTTGGGTCGCGACCCTTCGAAGGTCAACAGTAGCCCCTGGAACACGTTTAGTCCGAAGAACATGCCCGTCACGAGAGCTGCCCACGAATGAGGTGTCGATAAGTGCGGGCTGCCGTTCTCCATTCGTTTAGCAATGAACACTGCGACGCCTGCAGCAGCTACCAATGCTCCAGCCAATACATTGAACAGTAGATGCAGTTGAGTGAGCCTGACGCTGTGGGTGATAGAGCAAGTTAGTCAAACGATTGATAATTGCAGCTGGATATGATATGTACCCGGTTACCGCCCCATTCGGTCCAGAATGCATGGGTTGGTATCCAGGATGTCACATAACATACATACACAAAACAAGTACCGTGTCGCTGAGTGCGTCTCGTTTTTCCGTTGCAACATGGCTTGCAAGGCACTGTAGAAATTGCAAGAAATTAATTGAATAAGAAATACAACGTGAGCAGGATCTATTGTCAGCACTCGATCGGAACATCCGAAATCGTGACCTCGGTAAACACACGAGCGTGGCCAATGAGTTTAACGCCGGATGTAGTGCGAGCAGCGACCAGTCCGCAATGCAACGCTCCAAGATAACGGCACAGGGCAGCAGGAACAACGTCACCGATAGCACTGACTCGGTCATTTCGTTTCGTATCACTTTCATTCTCTTATTGCTCGTCGTGGCTGGATATACAGCGGGGTCGGCTCGGCGCGTTGCACGAATGTAAGTGTCGATCGTCGTATGACTACCAATGAGCTTGCGATATTACATTATCGCCTCAATGTATAAACCACAGAGGCGATGATGATTCACCGTAATAAACAAATACGGTCCTGTATTCGATTTATACAAAGTTGCACTCTGCTGATGCGCAGCCACGGCCATGACACTTGACATCTATGGCGCCTGGAAGCAACTTCCTGGTCGTAAGCTATACATTCAGATTCAGGATAAAGAAAACGCTCGTCATGTTAGTATGAATTGCACCTCAAATGAGCATGTGCGAGCGGACCTTTCGTCACAGGCGACTGCCTCACCATCATATAGTCTCCACCGCCAAGGGCGTGTCAAGGCTCCATGCATTTTACGCAACAATAGGGCTCCAAGCAGTCTGTGGCATATCAATTCTTGTGGCGTCTTCCTGCTGAACGTCACTTTGGTCGGTCTGCGTCTGTATTTCTCATGGCATACTAAATGCTGACGTGACATGTGCTTGTGACGTGCCGCCGCCTTAGAGCGGTCTGCTTTCTTGCATCTAGACAAACTGTCTGTATCCTTATGTCCATACTTCTCGAGCGCTCGATCATCATCGCGAGCTTGTCACGCAAGAGCTCGATAGTCTTTCGTGATCATTTTCCTGTTTATTGCCGATGCCTGTTTCAGGATCCAACAGCAGTCGACAGTTTACTGTTCCACACAGCAATTCCGCCATATCTGACGACCCACCTTGCTCCTACCGTCGTTCATTTGGTGTTTATGCGTCGATGTAAATGAGCCAAATGGAGTTGTTGACTTGTTGTGGCGTCACTGCATACTGCTACAAAGACAGAGGCATACTTTCTAGACTAAGTCAAAGTACACCGAGAGACACGTCATATTAGCGATAACTTTGCTATGCATGCTACAGCTTTTGCTTGCTAGTTCCAAGGGCTGAACCAACGGAGCATTGCTGTATGATCTTTTGTGCCCTTTCTTCACCGCAAGATCAATCATGTGTGCGTGTGAATACCTTGTCGTTTACAGTATAACGCGTGTAAGTGGTACCATGTGAACGTCCACAGCATGCTGACCGCAATACCGTGACCCATATCTATAAAGACTTCTGTCGTCTTGCTTTGAGGCTTCATAGCATAAGATGCACACGACAGGTCTCAAGCTTACACTGTATTGCAAGCAGCTGATAAGGATTGTGCCTTCGCAATTGTCGATGATGAACGACACGATGACAACTACACAGTCAGTCGAATCTGTACTCGCACGAACATACTTTTGCTGCTCAATCCACATCGCTACTCTTACTATACATACTCCACTCCGCTCCGCTGCTCTACCACACAAAGCAGTCTTGCGGCTGGTAAAACGACGCTGGACGATACCGCAGCGGGTGTGGCGCCACATAGAACGGCATGCGAATCTGCAAGACACCGGTCTCTGAGATCTGCTGCGTCGCTTCGTCCATGTTGAGCATATTCCGTGGAAACTGCTCAGTGATCTCAAAGCGTCCGAACGTCGGGGCACCGCTGAGACGCGACATGACCACATCTTTCTGCGTCGGAAGTCGGAAGCCACTCACCCGAAGCACTCCACTGTGGGCGTTCCACTGCACGCGCACGTTGCGCGGATCAATGTGGTTGAGTCGTGCGATCAGGTACACGCCATCCTGTCGGCGCTGGAGCTGGTAGTACGGCCGCCATACAGGTAGCGACTGGACGTCAACGTCTTGACTCGGACAAGTCGCTGGAGCCGACTCGAGTGGCGGTGACATTTGCGGTGCGCCCGTGAGTGTTTCCTCGTCCTTGCTATCAGTTTTGCCACTGGCTGCCAAAGCAACAGACGACTCAACCTCCTCCTTGGCGTCAACATCCTCGTCCATGTCTTCGTCTTCTTCTTCTCTGTCCTCCTTCTCTTCGTCGTCCACCTCTTCCTCTTCTTCTTCGTCGTCGTCTTCCTCCCCCTCCTCTTCGTCGTCCTCTTCTTCTTCTTCTTCTTCGTCCTCCTCTCCTTCTTGTTCCTCTTCTTTCCTCTCTTCTCCGCTCTCCTTCTCTCCGTCGTCGCTCTCTTGACCGTCGCTCTCTTGACCAAAGAGACTCGACACGTGCATACCGTCCGACTCGACGTCGCTCTGTTCGCCGAGCGTCGAGTCCGCGCGCCCAGAGAGCGGCCGCACTCGAGTAAGTACAAGCTCCCCAAACGCCTTCAGCCTCGCACTGCGGTCCTTCCAGGCATCGGCCAGAGGCAGCAGCTGCTGCTGGATAAACACCACCAGCGTCTTGCGCGCGCTCTTGATCTGTCCGTCTCCGTAGCTCAAGACGTCGTCCAGCTCCAGCAACGACCGCGTCAACAGCTCCGCCTGCTCCTTCACGCGGTAGTCAAAGGCCCCGAGTTCGACGCGCGCTCTCTTGACGATCGCTGCCGCCGTTTCCAGCGACCGAAACGTCTGCAGTCGCCACTTGGACCCGCAGACAATGGCCGCTACGTGGCGGTACTGAGCGGGTAAGCGGTCGCGGAGAGTGTCCTGCACGATGCGGACGTTGGCTTCGATCGACTGCAGTCGGCGGCGCGTCTCGTCCATTGGCTGCGACGTTTGGAGCTCCATGGGGTCTCTGTGGCGGTGGTGTGGCCAGGCAACGAATGGCTCGACACTTGACGTTGGTGTGGGGTTAGTGTTGCACGAAAGTGACGCGACGTGTGTGGGACGTTGCAAATCAGTGACTGAGCGACGCACGAGTCCGTCTGTCTCTGGTGCGTGGAACGAGAGCACTGATGGCTACATTTCGACACACGCGATCGCGAATCTTCGAGAGTCGACTCGAAACAAGTTCGAGAAAGCGGACGGGTTGTGTGTCGTACTTAGGGAGAACGCAACAGAATCAACATCCGTTGGGGAACCAACCGACGGTGTTTCATCGTGTGTTTGACACACAAAGTTTCTGCATAGGATAAGGGGTGTCAACAACACACGATAGCGAGCGAGCGCCGGGATCACGGTAAACGGTATCCGAAACCAACAAAACCTGCGACGATCTCGGCACTGTTTGGGTCATTGGCGGTAGCTGCCACAGTGAGTCTGCTGTAGCACAGTCTGACTGACGGCCGATGGAAACATGCGGCAACGAGACGCTTTCGAGCGTACGGCCACAACCGCTAACGGCCTCACTTCGTCCAACGAAGTGTCGGCAGAGCGGATCGTCTCGACAGCTTCGATGAGGAGCGAACGTGCTCGACGGTCAGCCACGTTCGGCTCACGTCTTCGATTCTGCTGCAAAGAGTGAGTGCCACAGTATCCGACTGCGACTGCCAGGAAGTAGACGACAGTCGAGAGGATACCGCCTCGTGGTTTGCCTCTCGAGGTGCGAGCCACGCAGACACTCTGCTGACTGAGTCAGTCGATCGTACCAGTCCACGTCCAGCAATAACGTACCGTCAAGAACGAAACAGCGTCTCGACAGTCGATGAACGTCAGAAGCAGATCCACACCCACACGTTGTACGCAGTCAAACACCACAACACATACATTGTCGGCAGTAGCACAGGCGCTTCGCAGATAGGCGACCGACCAACCGACCGACTCACCACCTGAGCAAAGCGTCCACCATCCGCAGCAGCAGTCACAGCACCACTACCTCCTTGTTCCACGTCCATCCGCAGCACGAGCAGGCAACGCCCTCCGCTCGCTGCTCAGCCACTTCGTCTGTCTCTCTGTCTCACCAGTCCGCGCCGTCAATCTCCTTGAGCAGCGCCTGCATGAACGCCACGCCGTACCCCGTGGCCCGCTCGTCGTCGCTCGTGAACGCCGGGTACGCCATGTCCACGTGCAGCCACTTGCCCGAGTGCTCAAAGTCGCCCAAGTGGTTGGCAATGAACTGCCCGGCACAGGCCACTTGGCCGTTCGCGCGGTGCTTCACCGAGTTCTTCATGTCGGCGATCGCGCTCTCGAACTCGTCGCGGTACAACTCGGGCGCGTACGCCATCGGGTGCACCAAATCGCCCGACGCTCTGCCGGCCCGCACGGCCATCTGCTCGAGCTGCGCGTCGTTCGAGTAGACAGCGCCAATGCGCGTGCCCGTGGCCACGCCCTGCGCGCCCGTGAGCGTGGCCATGTCCACGACCACCTTCGGGTTCAGGTGCCGCACGGCGTACGCCACGCCGTCCGCCAGCACGAGACGGCCCTCGGCGTCCGTGTTGTTCACCTCGACGCGCTTCCCCGAGTACAGCTCCAGCACGTCGTCCACGCGCGTGGCCAGCGGCCCCACGGCGTTCTCCGCCACGCACAGCACCGCGTGCAGCGGCACGCGGTCCGTCGTGTTGCGCGCGCAGCACGCGGCGTCAAAGGCCGCCAGGAGCGCCGCCGCGCCGGCCATGTCGCGCTTCATGCCGGCCATGGCGCCGCCCGTCTTGAGCGAGAGGCCGCCCGTGTCAAAGACAATGCCTTTGCCCACCATCGCGACGCTCGGGGCGTCGGCGGCGGCAGCGGGCGGCACGTGGCTCAGGCACACGAGCGCCGGCGCGTGCGCGGCCGCTTTCCCGACGCCGTAGAGACCGCCAAAGCCCGCGAGGCGTAGCGCGTCGCCGCGGATCAGAGTGACGCGCGCGCCGGTGCGGGCCGCGACCGCCTGCGCTTCGGCCACGAACGCGTCCACGTGCAGCTCGTTGGGCGGCGCGTCCACGAGGCGCGCGGCCAGTCGCACGCCGTCGGCCGTGTGCTGCACGAGCGTCTGCTGGGCGGCCGTGAGCGGCGCCGCGTACAGGACGTGGAGCGCTCCGGGCGGCGGCGAACGGGGCGCGTAGAGCGGAGCGGCCCGTGCGACTGCTGCGCCCGCGGCGAACCACGTGGCGCTGTGGGTCGGGAGCACGAGCAGCACGAGCACTACGGGGGGCGAGAGGGCGTCGGTGGGCGCCGAAGGGGAAGCGGTGGAGACGATCGCGCGCGTGTGGCGCTTGAGGAACGACGTGAGCGCGTGGGGGCGCGCGGGGCAGTTGGCGCGCGAGAGCGCAGTGGGCAGCGCGTGCAGCGTCAGGGAGAGCGGATCGGCGCTCGCGGCGGCGGTGGGCAGCAGGAGGAGCGACGCCGTGGCGCCGCTGTCGGGGCCGGGGCGGAGCGTGTCGAGCGCGTACTGCAGCAGCTGTGTGTTGGGAGGGGCGTCGCTGGCGACGGCGTGGGCCGACGCGCGGAGGAGCGTCTAGTGGAGGAAACTGTCGCGCGCGGATTGCGCCTGCAGCGTCTCGAGGGACCCGACGACGACCACGCGGTTCACGCGCTGGGGCGGGAGCGCTGCGAGCGACGTAAAGTGCACCATGACGAGAGACAGAGAGAGAGAGAGGAGGAAGAGGAAGAGGGGAAGAGGAAGAGGAACGAGGAGGAGAGAGGAAGAGGTTCTCTTTTGGCTCGGAGAAGTGTCGTTGGGGGCGACTTGCGGTCGGGTGAGCTGCGTGGGGGCAGTTGCGCGATCGAAAAGAGGGGCGAAAGACTGTGGGGAGTGGGGGGGAGAAGGGGCTCACGAGGAGCGCGGGGTGAGTTAAGAGGGGGACAGACGCTGCGTGTCGATGGGTTCGCAGGGAGAGGCGCCGTCGGGTCTCAGGACGGACCACAGACGAACGATTGTTCACACGGAGCGCTGCAAACGTTCACTTTAGCTGACAGGAGCGACTGCGGATCGAGACCGTCTGTCTGTGTGTCTATCGCGTACCTACTTCGATGTATGTGTCGGTCTGTGTGTGTGTGTGTGTGTCTATCTGTCTGTCTGTGTGTGGGGGGGGGAATGGACTCGACCGTAGTGAACCAAAGAGCACTTGCGCAGCAGAGGGACGTCTGTGTCGGACCGCTCCGCCTGCGATTGATGAATGGGACTGTCTGGCGCACAAGCGACGGATTCCAACGCATGTCTGGAAGTCTCTCGGGTGGTGTTCGTCTAGAAACACCCAAAGCTTTCAGTCAGCTGGAGGAAGTCGTGCGTCACACACTGATGATAGTGACACGAGAGACAGAGCGCATGACATCCACGTCAGCTCCTGCACTCTGTGCGTTGTACCACATGGAGCACGGGCTCATGGAACGACGGCGGTTGACTACGCGTCGTCGGTTCATTGCTTCCACTTCACGTCCATGTGGCTTCTGTGGACAGCATCGGAGTGGATGCTGTGGGTCTCTTGCGCTCGATCGTTCGTCTCGCCGCAAGTAACGAGTCTACTGGGACCTAACTGATCGTGATGGAAAGCTCGGCCAAGATCGGCGGCATCGACGCGTCCCAGCCGACGTTGTGTGACTGCGATTATGAGCTCTCGGTAGCCAGAATGGTCGTGTAGCAAACGCGACCGAGAGTTTGCGGCGATGAAGGGCAAACGGACTCGAGCAAGCGCTTGTTTGCGGTCTTCGCAACCTCAATGGAGCTGTCGAAGGACTGCACAGTGCTGCGCGGTGTTGTCCGTTATAAAGCGCTCAACTGGAGAGTCATGCGGTGCGACAAAGCAGCAAGCAAACCACATCGTTGTATAGTGCCACAAGCAAACGAAAGCAGCGGATGGAGCTGCCGACGAGAAGAAGAGCTCTTCTTGCTGATCAAAGGCGAAGAAGACTAGTTCACGATCCAATGTGGTGACATCGCTAGCGACGACATGTTGATGTTGAGACTTTGGCTTGTCTTATGTCTGGGAGGAGCCGTCCATCGCTCGACGAAGTTGTTCATCCGCGACATCCCACTCGTCGACGTGGTGCGCCCCTCAGCTCGCTCGTGCAGGGGCTCACTTCTTCCTCCTCTTGAGAAACAAAACCACAGGCGGTTGATACATCGTCTTGCTGCCACAGGTAATGAATGAGCGCAATTGAACCAAACTTGCGATCAACTGGACCGCGAGGCACAAGCAGCAAGTACAGTGCACACGGATGGACTGCTATCGCAGGAACACAAACAAAGACTGCGTTTATTAGTCACCTAGAACTTGACACTCGACTGCCCTGCTATCCTCTCTTCAACGTGCCAACACAAGAACTGACGTCAGATCCAAAAGCGCGGCAGGTCACACAAGCGACCTGAGGTAGGACACAACTCGCGACCACAACGACCCTTGCGGTTGATTCTGGGCTTGCTTGTAAAATGACTTGTACTCGTCGTGGAAGTCGATTTTTTCTTGTAAGGGTTCACCATACGGGCCTTTGACGGCCTGCTTGAGCTCCTCGTCCAGGTTCAGTGCCGAGTACAGTATAGACGGCGTGATACCACGTTCGAACAGATTCGCGACTAGACTCTTCGGCTCGAGCATCTTCTTCGCAGCCGCAAGTCTCTTTTTGTCACGGTGCGCGTCGATTTTTTTCAGGAGCTCTGCTATTTTGCCGTCGATTCGTTCCTTCACGGCGGTCCGCCACTTCTCCCAGTTGACGAATAGCTCGGAATTTTTTATCTTTTTGAGGAACTCGACGATCGCTTCCGTGAGACGCTCGAACTTCGAGCGCGTGATCCCTTCTTTTATCTCCACCCCAATCTCCGAGTACCCCCTCTCTTCACCGGCAGTCGCCCTACCGACGTCGTTCACTCGGATCACCCGCTTGTCGCTCGCTCCGACCGGGGGACGTAATCCCCACTCGGCGTCGTTCACTCTGGTCGAGTTGCCCGCTGCTGGAGCTGAGAGTGCGAGCACGAGCACGAGAGCGAGGAGCCTCTGGGACATTGCAGGAGCCAGTGGGCGCTGCACTTGATGAGCAATGAATGCACTGGAGGTCTGGAGACGTTCAGGTGCACGTCCAGCAGCAAAGTCGAAGTGAGAAGGTCAAGTGAGATTGGAAGGTGAAGGTGGATGGTGACAAGGACTGGTCCGATGTCTCTCTGTCGAGGTGGAAACTGTCGAAAGCCGTACGGATTCGCTGATCGCATCGACTCTGGATACCGACATTCTCAGTAGTTCGTGGACAGAGCACGTGTGAGTTTAGTGGGGCAATTTCAATATGATGTTTTCTGCAAATCGAGCAGCAGTATGTCCTACCTAAAGGGGTGAGAAAAGCAGACAGCTTTTAGCTCGAGAATGTCGAGTTAGGGACGTGCGTACCCAGACGGACAGGCTATGTATGCTGCACGAATTGGCGGGGACAAGGTTGAACAATGCTGGTCAGTCTAGGTGTGAGATGAGCATTGTCGAAAACAGGGCATTGGCATGACCGAGACCCTGCAAGGAAGTGAGAACGGGGGTAGGCGCTCGTGATATATTGTTGACTGCGAACAGTCGAATGGCTACGACTAGACAAACTCATGCTACTACGCTCGTGAAGAACTGGCTTCGGTAGTGACGCTAATCGGGCTTCTTCCAACATAGTCTTGCAGACGCTTGCTCTGCGCCGTACTGTCCCTCGCTCCAATTTTTTTGATCAAACATACACTGGTCGATTTCTTACAAATTTTACAGCCCTCGTGTCAGGTGCCTGTCCTTATGCATTGTCATCATTCGCCTGTCATCACTCGATTCCAGCACGGTGGCGGCTGCATCGATCGTTTCATTCCAGGCAGAGTCAGTAGTTCGTTCCACTCAAATATGGTGATCGTGTGCTGTTGACGCTTTTTCCCATTGAATCGATCGCTGCATTGCTTTTGCCACATTCATTGCTTGTCTGAAGCTACAAGTTACAGCCCTGTAGTTCTGCTTCTTTTCTGTCATCGAAATCGGCAACATATACGTAGTGCCTCAGTGCGCGAAAGCGTTCGGTCAAATGCGACATCAGAAAGATATCATCCAGGAAATGACGAGGACATTATATGTCAAACATTCGAGCATGCCGGTAAATTGAGCGGGTCATGGGTCTGTGTCAGATAGCGGCGAGTTGCCAACCTCTAGAGCGTTTACTCGATCATCCATACACAGGCCGCAAGCATGCATGATGTACCGCGACATCCAATAGTTGCAATGAATGAAGGGATGTTCGTGTGCCATGAATTATGTGTTTGGCCGCGAAACCGACATGTTCGAGCGACTACGCGTTAATGGTGTGTTTGCGATAAGTGCAACCTTCTTCGTCGATTCATCCTCTGTAAACATCTACGCATCTGCATAGCCACTGTACGGATGGATGTAAACTGAGAAGTGTTTATCGTAGCTGTCTACACAACGGCTGACTAGGGATAAGCCCTTGCTCACATAATTGCCCTTGTATAGTTTCACCTCATCTCTTTGCTGCTTGCTAATTTTTCTGATGTATTCTGGTATTTCAGGTGAAGCATGTCCCTTCCTCAGCGATCACATGGTTTACGCTGAATGGAGCGACGTGGTCTTCAGATTCCTGTGTCTTGATCGATCTATGCAAATGAATGAATGTAGATTCGTTGTCGAGCTACGGATAGTTCAACCTATCTTGCACCCTTTTGGTCCTTACAGCTACTGCCACTTCTCCATAGCCCCAGCAATCACAAACTAGCACCTCACTCTTGTAGGGCATGTAACGAAATACTTCGTTTCCAGCAGCAATGCACATGTAGGGAACTTTGCGCCTTCCTTGTTGCGAGGTCGAAAAGGGCAAGGCTATCAGTGAGCAGCGTAAGGTATAAGGCAAACTTCTTGGCAGCTATATTCTATGTGTCTGTAAGTTACGCTGATACACAGCAACGCACATAACGTGTGAATATAACGAAGCTAAGAAACCCTCATCGCTCTGTGACAAAGAGAGCTCGCCACCTTTTCCTACTCAAGATTCACTGCACGTCGTCAGTCGCACTTCGTTGCTGTTGTTACGCAAGCCGCCAATCTATTTTGTCAATTCCTTCCTATATAAATTCATCAGCACCCGCCATTTGGTTAATCGCACAACATTAACGGCTGCTTTGTAGGTTCTGCTACTCACAACGAAGAGCCAAGGTCCTCAGCCGCCAACCAACTATCCAAAATAGGTATGTTAGGATCAAGCCTAGACTCACTGCTCCGGGCTCCATTGCTTGTACCAAAGGGCGAGCTCCAGAGCTTGCTGCTCTACCTATACCAAGAGTCAACAATATTCGAACAAGTACAACAATCAGTGGGTTCTACGAATACAACCTTTGTCAAACGATCACGATTCTTCATTTTGTGTACGCGAAGTGAGCGCGGAGCCTTTTTTAATGCCGCTTAATGGGTACGTGTATCGTAAAAGCGGTTCGGACAAAATGTGCTCGAGATGTTGCTCTGATGCAACTGTAGCGATGGATAATCAGTAGAGAGCGCGGATGCAGTGAATTGACGCTCTTTAACTACAACAAAGTGCCGATTGTTTCCGCAGCTTGTACGTTAATTCGACGCGACGAAGCGCAAGGCATTGTTTCTTCAACCGCAACAGCTAATCTATTGTTATGCTGAAGTTTACATGTGCATGTTTCATTAGTCCAGCATATGGCCTCATCCTTTCGAGTAACACGCGAGTGTCGACATGATTCCGGTAAACTTACACGAATAAGCATAGCACGAGTCTGAGCAACGTAGCGCCATATGGACGACTGTTATTACTATACGCAATAGTTTATGCAAACCAATAGGTAACCTGGGAGATTGGGATTGGATGGCACACTCGCCTGCGCTTCGTGTGGAGGAATACAGCACCAAGCACGCATCATGAGCACTATGTCAGCTCGACGTTGTGTAGTATGTGGCAGTTGCGATTGATTAATGACAAAAACCGAACAGATGCAATTTACCGCGAGGTAACTCAAACTGACGCCTGTTTTTAAAATGACAAACTGCAACGGACGGAAACGTGGCGAACAAGCCTGTTCGTTCACATGCCTTGTTGTGTAACTAGTGTGTAGCCGTATTCGGACAGGTAGAAGACGATCGAGTGTTCTATTATCTTCGCTTTTGCTTGGCGAATCAGGGCGACAGTACTTTTTCCATTATAAATGGTTGATAGATACCACTTGCCGGGCGAGTAAGTATCGCATTGTTTCAAAATATATTCCAGAGACCTGATGTAAAGGGGTATGGTCGCTACATAAAAAATGATATTTTCGTATCAATTTTGAACATTATATATTAAGAAGATTTACAGGTACCCGCCCACTGTAACGGGGTTACACGTCGACCGGTAGATGACAATAGGTGTGCTGCACACAAGGAATGGAACCCCTTTTCAAGTGATATTAGAACACAGTATCAATTGTTGAAGACTGACGTCTGTTAACCATTGATTACGAGATCTTTTGAAAGGTTCATTTAGGAGATTTTCGAGTAGGTTAATTACGTTGTTCTAAGGTGTTCTTTTAGGTTAAAAGAAGAAATAAAGTTCAGTTCCCATTTCGATCCGATAGACACGTGTCTCTTTGAGGCGTCTTGTGATTGTTTGAGGAGATAGCAACACCTTGTTAAGGCGGCTACTTCTTGTGCACTCTGTGCGTTTGATTCATTAAATCGTTAGGTCCCCCTGGAACAGGGACCGTAAGCTCTCTGAGCTTTTTTGACTCTCTGGGTCGGGTTCTCGATTCCACATCTTGGATCTCTGAGCTGTCGACTCTTTAAGTCGGGCTCGTAAAACCAAAGTTGCTCGTAGAGCGTTAAGTCTTCCTCTGACTTATGGAGCTGTGTAGCTCCGCTACACTTGGTAGCACTCGTAGTCAATCTACTCCTGAGTCGTTACGACTGCTCCTCTGTGAGTATGGAGCAATCCAGACTCCTCGCTGAGGCCGAAAAGGTCGCGCTTGGTAAGATAACCGCGGCCGTAGGCCCAGAGTACGTGGAGTTTCTCGCTGCACAAGGTCCCGATGTGCTCAATGCACGAGTCGAGACCTTCATGCAGCATGAAACGGCCCTGTTGGGCCAGGTTCATAACCCTATATCGTCGGCAATGCCTACACGCTACGTGGCGATGCCAGATGAAGAGGCTAAGCCTCGTCCCCTTCGGGTGGACGTCAAAAATTACTCCGGGAAGGAGGGGGAAAACCTTACCCTCTGGATCCGTGAGATTGAGATGGCCATGAGCTCTGGCCTTATCTCACTGGAGTACCAGCGGGTCTCGTTGGCTATCTCCAAGCTCGATGCAATAGCAAGAGTATGGGGTCTGACGTGTGGCACGTCGGCTGACTTGGCATTTTCCACGTGGGATTCGCTCAAGTTGGACCTTTTGCGAGTTTTCTCGCCGCCTAACCAGGCTTATCGCGTGCACTCACGGTTCCTGTCTACCCGTCAGGGTAAGAATGAGCTAACGGACTATGTCCAACAGTTGAATACTCTTATGGCTGCTATGCAGTCCGACCCTCTCCCTGAGACAGTCTATGTGACTGTATTCATGGAAGGTCTTCGTAATGGCGTTGCCAGGACCGAGGTGTTTCGAGTCCATTCCTCTAATTTTGAGAATCTATTAGCATCGCTCAAAAATGCTGATCACAACTTCAAGTCGGCCAGACTTGGTTGGAATGGGTACATACCAATCTCTACGAGGGAAACCTCTGAGAGCATCTCAGCTTACTGTAAGCCAGAAATGATGGATCTCAGCCATGCTGAAGATGAAGGTGAAGCGGAGCTTCATGTTGAAGAGCAACGAAAAGAATTGAGACGCCGTTACATGTGCGGAATCAATAAACACTTGCGTCCCACTTGTCCTTCGCGTAATCAACGACCGACTGATATGGGTCGAAATCCCGGCCCCAACCAGAAACCTGGTATGGCACGGGGAAACGTCGATACCCAGTAGGCGCGGGGCGCCCTACTGGGGCAGATATGAGTTC